CTTATTTTATTTTATTTTATTTTACTTTATTTTATTTTAGTTTGTTTTGTTTTAGTTTTTTTGTTTTAGTTTTTTTGTTTTAGTTGTTTTTGCTGTCTTTATCTGTCTTTTTCATGTTGCTGCTCTTCTATCCAATATTGTACTAGGACAAATCAGCTCCAGGTATTTTATTTTATTTTATTTTATTCTAGTTTATTTCATTTTATTTTAACTTTTTTTGCAGTATTTTTTGTTTTAGTTTTTTGCTGTCTTTATCTGTCTTTTTCATGTTGCTGCTCTATTTTATTTTATTTTATTTTATTTTATTTTAGTTTTTCTAGTTTGAGTTTGTTTCGTTTTGTTTTAGCCTTTTTTGTGTTAGTTTGTGTTGGGTTTAGTTTGTTTTGTTTTATTTCGTTTTATTTTATTTTCGTTTAGTTTAGTTTTTCTTGTTTAGTTAGTTTTGGGTTTATTTATTTTTAATTTATTTTATTTTTAATTTAATTTTTTTTTTTTATTTTGCTCTTCTGCGTTTTATATTTATCTGACTGTGGTGTATTTGTTTATATTTTTCTTCTTTTTTGCGTTTATTTTATTTGTTTTTTTGTTTTATAATTTATTTAATTATATTTAATTATATTTAATTATATTTTAATTTATTTTATATTCTTTTGTGTGTATATACAGGTACGATATGTGTAGATAAGAGTTCTGCGTTTTATATGGATATGTCTGTGGTGTATTTGTGTATATTTTTCTTGTTTTTAGCTTTATTTTATTCGTTTTTTTTCGTTTTTTAATTTATTTTAAATTATTTTATATTATTTTATATTATTTTATATTATTTTATATTATTTTATATTATTTTATATAATTTTGGGTGTATATACAGGTACGATTTACTAAATATGGCGATATGTTTAGATAAAAGTTCTGCGTTTCATACAGCATCAACAGCTCCGTGGTTGTTATACTGGTTGTTAGCCTTTCAGCCTTTCTTCGGTCCCCTTGCTTCTTTGTCTGCGCTAATTACGGGCCTTTTCTTGAACTTCTTTCTCCCTGCTCTTACCTTTCTATATGCATCTTCTTTCTGGTGCAGCAGCAGCAGCAACAGCAGCAGCAGCAGCAGCAGCAGTAGTAGTAGTAGCAGCAGCAGCAGCAGCAGCTATCAACTGCAGCAGCAACTGCAGCAGCAACAGGATTCGGGTGGAGGGGGCCCCTTGTCTTCTGGCGGTAGTGTAGATGATAGAGCAGAGGGGGCCCCCAGGGATACACATGGGGGCTTGCTGCTGCAGCAGGACACGATAGGAAACAGAGAAGGGGGCCCCTTTAAACAGGGGGGTGTCTCGGGAGCTGTAGCAGGAGCAGGAGCAGNATAGGAAACAGAGAAGGGGGCCCCTTTAAACAGGGGGGTGTCTCGGGAGCTGTAGCAGGAGCAGGAGCAGCAAAGACAAGAGAAATGCAAAGACAGCTGCAGCAGTGGTTAGAAGAGTTCGCTAAGAGGGCCCCAGACAGCGACGTGGCTCAGCTGCTGCAGCGGAACGATGTAGATACAGTTGAGGGCCCCACAGACACAGCAGCAGCAGCAGCAGGTGGTGGTGCTGCACTGCTACGAAGAGGAAGCACCATGAGCAGCAGCAGCAGCAGCAGAATTCATTTCAGACAGACAATGCATGCAGGAGACAGCAGCTGCGGCGAAGACAGCCCCAAAGTGTGGGGTGCTGACACCCCGGATCGTTTCCCTTTATCTAGAGGGGCTTCATCTCCTTTGCTTAGTCTTTATCCATCTGCTGCAGCAACAGCAGCAACTGCAGCAGCTACTGCTGCTGCTGCTGCTGATGCACTCGATGCTGCAGCAGAACCCCAGCAACTCACACCCCAGGCCGTGGCTTCTCTGTGGGCTCGCAGCGCCTGGGGGGCGCGGGAGGAAGCAGAGGACGAGCACGAGGAGACAGCAGCAGCAGCAGCAACAGCAGCAGCANCTGGGGGGCGCGGGAGGAAGCAGAGGACGAGCACGAGGAGACAGCAGCAGCAGCAGCAACAGCAGCAGCAGCAGCAACAGAAGCAGCAGCAGCAGAAGCAGAAGCAACAGCAGGAGACACCGCAGACAACAACTCTGACGCAGCTGCTGCAGCAACAATGTGGGGCCCTGCTGCCTCTCCTTCCTCCTCAAGGTGTGAATCCCCCAGGGGCAGTGCATGCGATGAGTCTCAGCAGCAGCAGCAGCAGCAGCAGCAGCAGCAGCAGCAGCAGCAGGCTGAGAACGCAGCAGCAGAGGGCGCTGCTGTCTTTCAACGCAGCCGCAAGAGGGGGACGGTTGTGGGGAGGCCGCAGCGGGGCAGCAGCAGCAAGCAGCAAGGGCCAGCAGCAGCACATGCTGCTCTCAGCTTGCAGCAGCAGCAGCAGCAGCAGCTGTTGCAGCAGCAGCTACAGCAGCAGCAGCAGCAGGCAGAAGCAAATGAACCAGAAGATTCCGAAAGCGATGGAGCCGCTGGGCAGCATTCGCCCTCGGCTACAAATGCATCAGCAGCAGCAGCAGCAGCAGCTGCTGCTGCTGCTGCTGCTGCTGCTGCTGCTGGTGACGCGGCATCAGAGACAGCTTCACAGGCGGAAGAGCAGCAAACTCGACAGCAGGATGCAGACAATGTTGATGCATGCCATACAGCAGCAGCAGCAGCAGCAGCCGCAGCAGCAGCAGCAACAGCAGCAGCAGCAGCTGAGGCTGGCGGCTCTGGTGCTGGCGAGAGAGAAGAGGCAGCAGCTGATGGACGGAGACAGGAGATAGATGAGGCCGCCAGCGACAAAGAAAGTGTCTCTAAACCCCCCTATGAAAGCAGCAGCAGCAGCAGAAGCAGGTGAACGTGCTGCTGCTGCAGCTTCTGCTGCTGATGCTGTTGCTGCA